AAACTCGAACTCGAAGCACATAGATGTAAGGCACCATTTTCTCAGGGAAGTGGTAGAGAGGAAGGAAATTTCGGGCATTCACGTGCCGTCGCCGTACCAGCGTGCAGACTTCCTTACGAAGAGTTTGTCGAAGGATGATTTCGAGTCTCACCGTGATTTTGCGATGAATTCGGCATGAACATTTTGTTGTTTTTCTGATAGGTTGTGTTTTGGTTTTGTTTTGCTTCTCGTTTTGTTTCCCGTTTTCTTTCATTTCCCGCGCCAAGTATTTGTTACGCGCGATGCAGCATTCATATTCCTTTGAATTGTTTTTCTCTCTCTTATGTTATTCTGGTAAAGTCTTGGTGGCATATCGTCTGGGAAAGACGTCTTTTGGTTGAGATATCGGGTGTTAGCGAAGTTTTCAGTGAGAGACTGTTGCGAGCAGGGGGGATGTTAGATATACTCGCAGCAGTATCTGGTCGTGAGGATCCCAGGGGATACGTGTTGGGAATTTCGTGTGTAGTAGGGTACCACCGGTGCAGTCACGGGGATCCTTTTGGCGTGGTTGGTGCGATGGAGCTTGCGTGCGTGCTGCGCACTTCTTCCCTCTCTCTCTCCACCACCACCACCGTCTCTCTCCACCACCACCACCCTCTCTCTCCACCACCACCACCGTCTCTCTCCAATCAAGGTTCCTTCTCCCACTCTCTCTCCAGCTCTCTCTCAACCTCTCTCTCCCGGTCTAACACGGCCGACTACCCAGTGCCCCAAGTAACGTCCAGAACGTGCTTGCTGCACCCCGCGTAGTTTACCTTTCAAGGCCCGTTATGAGTATCAACAAGCGTGAATACGCGTACCGGTTTCAATGTCCAAAACCTGCATAACGGGAAGAAATTTGTAAAACGTGTTCTTCGACGGTAAATTGCTGCAGTATGTGAGAATGCCACAAAGGAGGACCAAGGCTGCCGGGAAAAGAAAAACAGATGCGAAAAGGGCAACTGGCCTCAGCTGGGATCGAACACGACTCCATCTTCTACAGACCCGTGCGAACTTGAGGAGTTGTTAGGGCTATGGAAGGCTCGTTTTCGTTGAGAGAGCGGTCACCTGGGGGTGTCAGGTGTCGGTGTGGCCCCCAGATGTTGACGATCTCGAGAAGCACACAAGGGCGGACTCCCTCCAGAGGTTGGAAACTCGGCTCCACGTCTCTCCCCGTTGTACGCCGGGCCCTGAAATCGCAGCCCGACCGGGTACCAAAACTTTAGAGCGTCGGCCCGAAGCCGCGGGGCATCAACAACGGCTGGATTTCGGCCGTGTACGCGTTGTAGATGTGTGCTGCGAACTGTAAACGGGAGGACCTGGATAAGAGCACCGAGGGCATAGGTACACCGCGTATGCGGGATTGCACGCGGGTTGAGACAAGATGCTGACATGACCCTGCAGCATGGCCTGGCAGCAGTCAAGCAACGAATACGTTGATGACAGGCAGGATCGCCCAGCAGCGGATATTCATCAAAGTAAGGACGGTACACACAGATAGCAGCGGCATAAACAACCAGCCAATATTCGCATGGAAATATCCCAGTCGGTGGACAAAAGGAAGCGTGCGAGTACACAGAGAGAGGACATGCCAGGAATGCTCGGCGGTTGGTGTGCTGGGGGGTGTAATGCACCTCCAAGGAAAGAGACGCAACTGCTGCCGCACTGCTGTAGGAAACTCAACGTACCCCCGGCGGCGGCACACGAAGTTGCTTGACACGAGGGGTTGCGTGTGTGACAAGACAGGACGAAAAAAACGCAACGGGTGATTAATCTCTGAGGGGCAGGCTGCTTGCCGGTGACTTGGTCAATGTACTGCTACAAGTACAGTTGGCGCCCGTAGTTAAGAAACGCCTATTTCAGGTCCAGCCTGGAATTCTTATTGTGGGCTATAAACTCAGCGTATCTCGTTCAGATTCGTATTTCAAGTTTCTTTTCTTTTCGTGCAGCCAAATCCTGCTGAATTTCTTAAATCGGCAATTTCTTATTTCTCTGCTTGCATACTACAAAAAGTTCCAAATATACAAATGATTTGCACTGCTTTCCTCGACCCCCGTACTC